CCTCGGCCTCCCAGAGTGCTAGGATTACAGGCGTGAGCCACCGCGCCCGGCCTTGGAATTTCTTTTTGAGAGGGTGATTCAGGTAATGAATGAATAGGTCAAAAATAAGATAATTTAATAATAGTAGTAGAAAGAAAATAAAACAAGGCAGTAGGATGTAGAGAGGTGGGGGCTGCTTGAGGTACCTCAAAAAGGATACTTAGAAAAGACCTTTCTGAGATGGGGATATTTGATATGAGCCCTGACTGATGAGAAAGTGCCAACCACCCTGACCTCTTAGGGAAGGCTGTTCCAGGCAGAGTGAGCAACACGTGCTTGAGGTGGGAACAAAGGCATTGTTTAAGCATAAGAAGACCACTGTGGTTGGAACATCATGGATGAGGAAGAGAGTAGAGAAAGGTGTGATATAGGAGGAATCAGGTCATGTTTGATTTTATAGGCCATGAAAGTTATTTGGATTTTATTCTAATTGCAATGGAAAGTTATTGTTGAGCACTTTAAGTAGAAATGTTACATAACCCAGAGTAACTTCGAAATTATTTCTCTGGCTGCTATATAGAGAAAAGATTGAAATTTCCATAAAATAAACAATTCATTTTAATTATAACGAAAGAACCATGTGAAGAAAATATGAGCATTTGTATTTATTTATTTATTTCAATGGATTTAGAGGGTGCAAGTGGTTTTTGTTACATGGATGAATTGTATAATACTAAAGCCAGGGCTTTTAGTGTTCCCGTCACCAGAATAGTGTACAATGTACCCAACAGGTAGATTTTTATCCCTCACCCCATTCTGGCCATCCCCCCTTCTAAGTTTTCAATGTCCGTTATACCACTTTATGACCATATTTATCCCTTATTTAGCTCCCACTTATAAGTGAGAACATGTGGTATTTGTTTCTCCACTCCTGAGATACTTCACTTAGGATAATGGTTTCCACTTCCATCCATGTTGCTTCAAAAGACATTATTTTGTTCCTTTTTATGGCTGAGTAGTATTCCATGGTATATATGTGTGTGTGTGTGTGTGTGTGTGTGTGTGTGTGCGTGTGTGTGTATGTGTGTGTATGTATGTATACACACCACATTTTCTTTATAATATGGGCATTTTAATTGCACAAAAGTTTAATATGTCTAAAGATATTTTGTGGCTGCCAAAATCATTTTTGACTAAGACTATATTAAAAGAGGCCTGAGGAAGGTGGTTCTCCCATTCTGTGAGGGGCATGTTAGCTAGACATGCTTGTGTGTTTTTGTTTTTGGTTTTTTGAGGCAGGGTTTTGCTCTGTTACCCTGGCTAGAGTGCAGTGGCATCATCATAATTCACTGCAGCCTCCAACTCCTGGGCTCAAGAGATCCTCCTGCCTCAGTCTCCTGAGTAGTTGGGACAACAGGTGCACACCACCATGCCTGGCTAATTTTTTTGTTTTTTTGTAGAGGCAGGGTCTTGCTATCGCCTAGGCTGGTCTCAATTCCTAGCCTCAAGCGATCCTCCCACCTTGGCCTCTGAAAATGCTAGGATTACAGGCATGAGCCACCGCTCCCAGCCTGCTTGTGTTTAGAGTTTAATTCAGAACTTTTGATTAACAAACATTTATTCTGTGCCTACTACGTGCCAGACAGTGTCTTAAGACTCCAGTAATATAAAGATAAATAAAACCTCAACTAGTAATATAAAGAAGCTCATCGTCTAGTAATTGAGAAAGACATGAAAACAAATAATTTTGACACAATTAAGTGCACTAATGCAAGGTGTTGTCCAAGACTTAGAGATGATGCAGAGGAAATGTGCAGGGAGGTAGCTAAGCTCCCAGCAAAAAATCGGGTCCCTTTGGTAGGGTCGTTGCAACGGATAAGAAAATAATAGAAAATGGAAAATAATGGAAATAAAAGAATACACAGAGATGAAGGTATAGTTTTATAGATTTATAAAGATTATAGGCAA